GAGGTAGGTATGCTGGATTCAAATCCCCTCTCTAGGCCTCTTACAGGCAGTGAGATATTGGACAGGTCACTTATCTGAGTCTGTGTCTTTAGTACTGAGCACAGAGCAGTGGGTAATACACGCCGTTTCTCATTATCACCATTGTTGTTACCTCTTAGATCAAGATGGAGTAGGTGCTAAGAAGTGATGGGTTTCCTTCTTTCCCATAGAATTCCTGCCACCCTCCGTGAGGGGCTGCCCATGACTTTCATTATAGAGCCTCTAATGCAGCGGTTCTCAACCTGTGGGTCGCGACCCCTTTGGCAGTCAGACGACCCTTTCACAGGGGTCGGTCGCCTAAGACCATCCTGCATATCAGATATTTACATTATGATTCATAACAGGAGCAACATTACAGTTATGAAGTAGCAACGAAAATAATTTTATGGTTGGGTCACAACATAAGGAACTGTATTTAAAGGGCCAGAAGGTTGCTCCAATACCTATTCCGGCAGCCAGCATGGACACCCCCATGGAATGGAGAACACCTGTTCCTTTTCAACCCAGCGAGAGATCCTCAGGTACCTTTTTCTGCTTTAACAGCTCACCTCACCTGGCTCTGGGGGGAAGAGACTGCCCAGAGGTTTTGTTGGTTGGTTTGTTTTGGCTGGGAAGACAGGTTTCTCCTTGTTTGTCCCTGGTTGGTGTCCCTGGGTTTCTGAAATAAGATTTCTGCCGTCACCCACTTGTCAATGGGATGCCCTGGGACACCAGGAAGGGAAGCCATGCTCCAGCCTGGGCTGCGCTGACAGGAGATCACACCTGGCTGAGGATCAGCCACCACAGGGCCCTGATCACATGGCAGCCACCACAGGGCCTGTTTCCATGGCAATGTCTGGCTTCCGGCCTGCGAGACTGGCTTTCTCCCACCTCCTCCCAGGTAGGCACCTGCCTCCATCTCTGGCTTGGGGAAGCTGCCCATGGTCCCATCACGGACCATCTGTGCTGGCTCACCTGCAGGACATGGAGGAAGGAGCACAGGGGAAGTTGAAAATGCCCATCCCCCCTGAATCCATCCACAGCTCCATCCTGTGGCTTTCTCCTTGCCTGGCATCTGCCCGGGGAGGGAGACAGACAGATGCTAGGGACCTGAGCTCCTGCAGTGGTGGTGCTTCCAATTGGCTCTAGAAAGATAGAAACTCTTGGGTGGAAAATTACCACCAGCTCCATTAGCAATTAAGGAAATGAGAAGAGACTGACTCAGAGCCCCCGGTGACATTGCATATTGTGTGGAGGAGTGGGTGGCTGCCAGAAGGACTTCAGAAGATGCCAGGGAGGATTGCCAACATGGGGCAGGTGCACACGTATGTGGGTTTAAGTTGTTTTATGCCCAAGATTGGAGGCCAAAATATGTGTGAAAAGTCTAGACTACAGAATCACAAAATGTTAAAACTTAAATCTAGAAGGGACCTGAGTGATCCCTTGATCCAAATTCATTGCACTGATGTGGAAAGCGACGTCCAGAGGCAAGTGGCCTGCCCAGGGCCATGAAGGTGGCCTGTGACAAAGCCAGGCCGGGCTGCAGGTGCTCAGCTCCTAAAAGTGGTGCTCTTGACTCGGTTTATGCACAGGAACAGAGCGTATTTAAGGCAATTCAGGGGAAAGCCTTGTATAAAGTGATTAATGAATATACTCCTCTCTCTCGTTTCTCCTTTCTATAAGTCCAGACTCTCAAATATTAGTTTTGGGCTCTGATGGGCCATATGCATAGTTACCTATAAAGCATAGTTTATATAATACTTGGCTATGCAGGATAAAGCCCACTCCTTTGATTTTATTATGAAAATAAAAATCTTGTTTGTCATTAAAATGAAGTGATATGTATGTAATATAAAATAAGGAGTTACATGCACAGACTTGGTAAGCGAAAACATCTCACGGCTTCCTTTCGGGTCTTTTTTAAGAACCTTTAGTTTTAATTACAATGAGACCTGGCTAATTTCCTACTGATTTTAAAACCCAGGCCCTGCCCCTGGCTTAAGGCCAGAGCCCCTTCCTCTGTACACCAGGCTGCAGCAGCCACCAGGAGGGCCTAGGGGGCGGGGCTCAAGGAGTCCCCCTTGTCCCTGCCCACCGTCCGGAGTACAGAGGTACCACCGGTTGCCACACTGACTCTTCCAGAGCTTTTGCTTTGGGAGATCAGAGAAAGAGGAGTCTCTAGTTTCCAACTGACTTTTCTTCTCAACAAGGAAGTCAGAGCCCCCAGAGCACTTGCATCCCTACTTGCATGTAGTCCCTTTGGGTGCTCAAGCAAGACCACCACGGTGCACGCAGGCATGCACACGCACAGAGCAATCTATGGTCCAGCCATTCTACTCACTCCAGGTAGATATGTGAGAGAAGCCTGCACAGGCATCTGCCCTGGGAGGGAGACAGACAGATGCTAGGGAACTGAGCTCCTGCAGTGGCGGTGCTTCCAATTGGCTCTAGAAAAATAGAAACTCTTGGGTGGAAAATTACCACCAGCTCCATAAGCAATTAAGAAAATGAGAAGAGACTGACTCAGAGCCTCAGGTGACACTGCACATCCATAGCAATTCTATAACAGCAAAGTAAAGGTGAGAGGGGCAGGGGAGAGAAAGAGAGAGAGGGGGTAGGGAGAGAAAGGAAGGAAAAAAAAGAAAAGGAAACCTCTAAGTGTATATCAACAACAGACTGAGATGGTGGTATATCCATACAATGGAATATTATACAGCAACAAAAAATGAACTGAACTGGACCTACATATGTCTGCATGGATAAAGCTCAAAATTTTAGTGTGAAGTGAAAACAGTGTGATGAAATTTAAATTAAGTTTTAAAACACATAAAAATACTCTATGGCACCCAGGGCTTACATGTGCATGCAATAAAGGGATAAAGAAATGCTTGTGGTGAGAAATAAATTCAGGATGGTGGTCTCCTCGGTAAAGCGCTGAAGGAACTTCAACTGTATCTGTCAAGTTTTATAAAGCCTGGCAGTGGTTCATGAGTGTTTATCAAATGATCACTTCTGCATTTTATATGTTTAAAATGTTAAGTGAAAAGAAGAAAACGCCAGGTAGGTAACCCAGTTGGAAATTATTTATTTACCACTGAAAGGTTTTTGCTCCAAAGTGTGACACCAGACATATGACTACAATGTCTCATGCGTCTTTTTTGTGCTTCAGTTCATAATTGCAAACACACACACATTTAGCATTGACAACAGGAAACACGGTGGCAGAAATGAATCACAAGGGCTAGATCTCTTTTCACTGTCCTCAGCTCAGTTTGGCTTACGCAATAGCTGCCTCCCCGCCCAGGACTCCTCACATCCCAAAGGAATTGCCCCATCTTGCTCTCTACATGGGGTGATTTGTCACTCAACCCACAGCAAGAGTCATGTCCCACGTTGAAATGGGCAGACGCGTGCAAGATCTTGACCAACAGGCACTCAACAAATAGATATTAATGTGGTGTAAGAAGTGGAGCCAAGATTAATTCTTTGTCCCCATCACCATATCTATGAAAGAACCAGATCACCGTGTGGGCAACAGTCAGTTGGAGATGGTTTCTTACTTTATTTTCATCTCTGTTTTGTGACCTTCTTAGAAAACACGCCTTGGCAAAGGACCAGGTGTTCCTTTCAAAAAATCAAATGCGCTCACACGGACCCAATTACGCTAATGTGGTAGTAAATTGCAAATGTGCCTGGTACTAGGTTAGCTGACGCAAAGAGTGCTAAAGTTTTTGGATTTGGCAGTCTGGTATCTCTGAATAATATAAAATTCACCAGGACGAAGTTCGGGTAGAGAAGCACAGTGATTATTTTCTCTTCTATCATCAATGACATTCACACAGAGTTACAAATTGTGAGTAGGTGAATGGTAATACTCAATGCCATGACTTCCTAGGCCAACTGGGATTTCTGATGCCTGTATCTTTGAGGAATCGGCCAGGACTCTGATTTTTATGCCAGTTGCAGTGACCTATTCTGTCTACTCCCTTATCCATCCTTTACTCATTAATTCATTCAACAAATACTGTACTTCGGGCCCATGAGCCAGCTTTGTTCAAGGTATCAAAACACACCAGACAAAAACCTCTGTAAAATCGCTCTCATTTCTGTGCATGTCTGTTCAGAGAGCTGATAACTGACACCCAAGATGTTCTGTGGTGGCATTTGATTCTTACTAGCGGCAACCTTTAGTTTACAAATCTGGGAAACTAAACCTCTGAGATCCAAAGAAATGAAAGCCTCATGGTGGAAGTGAGGTGGGTGAGGGTATCTCAAAAACATGATATAGGAAATCACTAACAAATGCTTTGCCTAAAAAAAACTTGGCAGGAGGTGGTAAATGTTAGTGATCAAGATTTCTAATTATCTGAGAGGTTTTCTCATTAAAGAGGGATTAGATATTTTTTCTGTTTCTTCAGAGGGTAGGTAGAAGTTGTTTCTAATGATTTTCTACTTTGGTGCAGAAAGGAAAAAATGATAACTATGGGTGATAAGATCCCTATCAGATTCTCATGGGGAGGCTAAGAATGACTTGTTGAGGTTGAAGGATAGCCCCCATCTTGTCTAGAAATTCTCGTTTAGATCAGCACTAGGGTGACACTGGAAGGCCCAGAATTTGGATGTCAGTATTAAGGAGTCCAAATGCAGAATTCATGGTTTTGAAAATGCACTTTCCAGGCATTGTCAGCTGCCAACTTAAAGCTTAAAGATGATCTGCTGGTGGTTTCAGAGTTTGCTTCTAGCCAGGGAGTGCCTACAGCTTTCAAGCATGCTTTCATCTATCAATCGCAGCATTTACCCAGACAGAGCTGCCATGTCATTAGTCCTGCTTTGCAGACAGCCAACAACAGAACCCAGAAGTTCTGGTTCGAGGGTAAGTATATCCACTCCACAAGGCTCATCATTTAATTAATGATATGAACAGCTATTTGGAATAATAAGGTGGGAATCTGAAACCTAGCTGCTGGTTACTTACTGATTTTAAAGCGACAGGCCCTGAAAACTGAAGTGGGAGGCACATTTGTAAAAGTCTTTGTTTCCTATTTATCTTCCTTCTCCACCTCCACAGAGCCAGGCATAATAGACTAAATTAATATGTGTCCCAAACTGAATTCTTCCTGAAGTGGCTGGACTGCTAGAAGCAATGGGACTATCTTGGAGGGTCACTTTGGTGATGCTGGTGGATGTGACAACTAGCGCCCAATAACTAACAGTGGGATCCCACACTGTCAAGGAAGGTCCCCCCAAAATATAATATAAATTGATTCTGAGATAAAACAATAAAGCTATTCAATAAAAAGTACAAATTCAGTCCAAGAGCAGGATCTGAAAAGCACAAATGAAAAATATTAAGAATTAAAATAATTAAATTAAAAACCTAGAGGCTTCTAAATGTCACACTGATGGTTGAGACATCCAGTACTGGAACTGGCTGTGAAAACCTGTCTGGAATGTTGTAGAAGGGATTCCTCCAGGCACAGCGCTCCAACCTCTGCATCCAGACCACCAATGCATGTTAAAAGGCAGGCTCCTGGGGTCCAGCCAGGAACACTAGTTTGGAATGTCTGCTGGTGATTTCTTCACACTGAGGGTTTGAGAACTGCTGGACTACTGCTGCCTGGTTCAGGAGCATGACTTCACGCTGGCCGAGATGTCAACCCACCCTAACAATCTCCAATTCTACGAGTAGATCCAGGATACTTTTATTTTCTTCATCATTTTTGAAATGCTCACTTTTAAGAAAACACATTCTTTGTATCCATTATTCCCCAAACTCAGCTTTCTCTGCATCTGGACTAACATGCCCACCCCGCAAAACCCGCACTCGGGCTGCATTTGCTAAGTGTCTCTTCTGTGACACAGATCAGCAAAATGCATTCCCCAGGGTGACCCAAATGTCCACACACTGCCCTCTCCTGCTCATTGTTCAGACATGGGGGTGTGATGAGAGAGGAATGGGGTCCTGGTCTTTGCAAAGATGTCTGTCTTCTGAGTGTCATTATGAGGATGTGGCACAAAGAAGAGGTCACAGAGGACAGCTGGGACGGAAGGGGCAGGGCTGTGCCCGAGAAGGAAGGTGGACTGGGAAGCTGCTACAGGTGCAGCTGGTGCCACATGGCGATCTGCCGGCGCGGGTTTTTGAGCATCTCCTCCCAGTGGCTGCGCTCAGAGCCCGAGGCGTGCAGACCCAGGCTGCAGTGGCCCAGCACGCAGCTCTGCCCCTCCTCTTCCTGGCCCAGCACCTCCAGCTCCACGCTGGAGGCCTGCAGCAGGTCATCTGGCAGCTCGAACATGATCATCTCATTCCACACAGGGTTGATCTTGTGCTTGGCTCGTTTTGTCTGCTTCTTTTTCAGCTTCCGAGCTTGGTGCTTTAAGGTCACCTTGACAGAGACATCTGGGCAGGGACAGAAGGGAAAGAGAGTCAGAGAGAAGGGTCAAGAGTGAGTTTCTGGGATGTGGTGAGACCCAGGCTAATGCTCTCTCTTAGGGATGGAGAGAAAGGGTCTCTGGTTCAAGGTTTGCACTGAGACTCCCTCTTTATGCACACCCCCCCATCTCCATGGGTCAGATATTAATTCAACAATAATTCAATGCCCCCCATATGGCAGACACTGGTCTAGACGTGGGAATACAGCAAAAGTCCCTGCCTCATAGAATGTATACTCAAGTATGGAAAACAGACAATAGCATCATAGATAAGGCTGGTCATCGGGTGGCCCATGATCGGGTCATGCTAGCGATAACCAGGGAATCACCCTTTGCCATGAGCCTTTCCAAGTGCCTGTATGTCCCACATGAAGCCAGGCCCAGGACAATGGCTCAGACATCCTGAAGCTTGATTTCAAATTCAGTCCAGAAAACAAAGCCACCCCGTGTCTTCATGCCTTTGGTTCTCCAGCCAAGCATGTTTGTCTGTTATGAAGATAGTGGGTCACCTGCTGGTTGGATGAGTTCTTCTCTGTTCTTTTGTAAGTGTTACTTGAGGACTCCAACTGCACATGGAGGGTGAGGGTAGACTGCCTTGGCCCGTGGGCACTGCACCGATAGACCTGCCCCCCTAGGAAATCCGCCTCACCCCCCACCCCCAGGGAAACAGGCCACCAGACGAGCTTTCATGGACATCAAGGCTCCAGACCAAGATCAAGTTTTCATTAGTCAAGGTTCCCAACGCTAATGTGAGAATAATTGCTCCTCTGCATGTATTGCTATAATTACCACCCCCGGGTGGTTAGTTTGTTATTTCAGCAGATATTTGAGAGACAAAGTGTTTTTGCTGTAATTGTCCTGACAGGAGCTATAAAAAGGGAGCAGGGGGCAAAGAAGTGTCTGCGGGGGATGCGGGAAAGGCACTGATGTCTGACCTTTGGCTCAGGCATCTGCAGCAAGGCCCATTCTTCTGATTTCATTCACCCAAGAGCTTTTGCTCAGAGATTCTGAACGCAGTGGCAATTCTTTATTTGTATCCTGCTATAAATATCTCTCTATTATATGCTGCCATGAGCACTTGGCTCCGGGTCCAGGCACCATATGGTAACCAGCAATGTTTCCTGCTCTGACAAGAGAACCTGTTCAGCCCCCTGACTTGGGGGCTGGGCTGAGGTATCCAGAAGGAGAAACTGAGGCTTCCAGGATGTTGAAGAGATGTTTATTTGGGTATGTGGGGCACAGATGCGCTAAGCTTCAGGCTGCCTCTGCCCAGGCACCCACACACCTTCTGCCATCACCCACACCCAGTTGGTGTGGGGGTGCCAGGTTGGCAAAGGCTGAGAAAAGAGAAGAGACTGGGTGGGTGTGGGGCGCACAGGGATGGCTAGTTGAGACAGGAGAAGGGAACCTGGGATGCTGACACCTGCCTGTGAGGTGGGCCCAGCCAGGTCGTAAAAAGTCTGGGCCAAGTTTCCTCTATAACCAGATACTCCACTCCATGGCTACAGCCCGACCCTTGGCTTCCTGGACCCCGGAGTAAGACTGGTTCTTCTCCCAGTGGGTCCCCAAGGCTGGGAGTCCCTGGCAAGTATGAGCTCATACCTGGGGTCTGATGGATGGGACTGGCCAGGGGATAAATGGATACGAACTTAAAAAAGTGAGTGGGTGTCCTTTAAAAATTCATTTGAGCTTGGGGTAGAGGACACAGCTGAGCTAACTCCACAAATGTCCTCATGCCCCACCTCCCTGCTCACCTGTCCCATTGTCTTCCAGGTGTTACCTCCCTCTGCACACACCCTCCTCTCACACCTCACTCACCCTTCCCCAGCAGCTCCTTGGACTGGTTGGAGTGGAGGTTCTTGGCTTTAATCAGCACCACCAGGAGGCGGTTGGCCGCCGGGAGGTAGCTGATGGAGAGAAGGACCTCTCCAGCTCCTGCAGAAGGCTCCTGAAACACGAGAGAGAATGTCAGAGATGCCTTCAGTTAGGGGTGGCTTCTGCCCCATCAACGAATGGTAAGGCTAGGATCCTACTACTTGTATCCAACAGGCATCCCAGAAACCATTTACCCATCAGCACTGGTTTCTCCACCCTTGCAGAAGGGAGGGGGGCACAGAAGATTATATGTGCATCTGTTTCAATAAGAGTTTGTTTCATTCGCCACAAAATGTGATTTTCCAACTACCTTATATTCAAACCCAACATACAAGACAGATCAAAGGATGCCACTCAGGATGGGGCTGGGCAGAGGGTCGGGACTCCCTCTCACCCTTCACCTGCCCTTGCCCAAGTTCCTAGGGCATCTCTACAGAACGCTAGGGTCTAGGGAGCACAGTGGAGAACCACCGCATTGACCCATCCGGTGCCTGGGGCCGTGTGGAGTTGTGATTCATTACTCTGTTTGAAAAGATAATTCCTTCCAGCCCCTACAGAGCTGGAAGAGTCAATAATGTCATGTACTGAGGCTGAGCAGGGCCCTGCTTAGTCAACAGAATGGCCAACCATGTCAACAAAAGCCAGGCATACGATGTTAGGCAATGCACCAGAGACTGCCTGCAATCCCTGCGCTTGGCAGGAGGTGCGGAGGCCTGGAGAAGCATCCAAAATGTCTATCCCCATCTGCAGCCTCACAGCGTCTCCCCTGAAAGTGCTACAAGAATTTGTCGGGAATTTTAACAAATCCATTGAGGGACCAAAAATGACCAAAAGAGCCCCCGCAGGAGGCGGGTGTCTGTCACAGTCCAACGGCAGTGCTAAGAGCACAGACCAGTGGTCCCCAACCTGTTTTTGGCCATGTCCCACCTAAGCACCTCTAACATCCTGATGCCCCTCCCCCGCTGTGACATACAATTCTTATCATTAAAAGAGTGAACTCCTATTCCCGTGGAGGGAGCCTTAAAGGCTATTAACTTGGTCTAAACAAGCTTCCAAAGAACATGGCATCCATGAAAGAGAAAAAAAATAAAAGAATGAAAGGATAGTTGAAGTACTGAGTAAGAAATTGTTTAAAAAATAATAATAATATGAAGTGATATGAAAAATATCAAGTAAAGTTTCAAAATATATAATAGAGAACTGAGATGCATACACATGTCACAGTATATGTTTATATACTATATATGAGGCCCCTAGAACCATAAGAAAGGCAAAAACTTCACTGTGAATCACTCATTCTCCAATTGCCCCCCTTAAAAATCAAACTGCCCCCCTGTGGGGCGTGTGCCCCACGTTAGGAACCACTGGCATAGACTCTAGAACCAGACTCTCTGGGTTTGAGTTCCAGTCCTACGATTTACTAGCTATGACATCGGGTGAGTCACTTAACTTTTCCAAGCCTCCCTTTCATCATCTGTAAACCGGGAACAATAGTAACAACCAGTGGGGTTGTAGAAGTTAACTGGGTTCATATTTAATGGCTTAGAACATTGTCTGCCACTCAGCACTGTGGACCTGTTTGCTTTATCACCATGAGGGATTAAGGAACGCCCATCACTACTTGAGATTAAGTGGGAACAGTGTTTCTGGATGGATGAGGTCCAGTCTGGGCTTTGGGAGTGAGGCTGGTTGGAGGAGCCGGCCAGCCTTGGCCTGAGTCACACCTCTCATCCAGGAAACCTGTCTTCAACGGGACCCCAACCATTCAACTTGCCACAAGTGACTAGTCATCTGATGGAATGATTTGGGAGCTGCCAGGAACCTTGGCAATGTCATGAATCCTAGCAGCTAACGTTAATTAAACACTATGTGTCGGGTGTAATTACATTAGCCATCACACTAGGCTGTAAGCACCACAAAGCCATCCCCAGCACCCAGCACACAGCTGATACAATAAATACTTGTGAGAAAGAAGGGTGAGACATCCCATTTAATCTTGGCAACAACTCTAAAAGCAGTACTGATTCTGTTCCCATTTTAGGTATAAGATCCTGATGCGCAGAAAAAGCACATCACTACTTGAGGTCATGTAGCCAGCAAGAAGCAAAACTGAGCCTTTAGCCCTATCCGGTTTGGCTCAGTGGATAGAGCGTCAGCCTGAGGACTCAAGGGTCCCAGGTTCGATCCCGGTCAAGGGCATGTACTTTGGTTGCGGGCACATCCCCAGTAGGGAGTGTGCAGGAGGCAGCTGATGGATGTTTCTAACTCTCTATCCCTCTCCCTTCCTCTCTGTAAAAAAATCAATAAAATATATTTTTAAAGAAACAAACAAAAAAAACCTGAGCCTTTAACAGAAGTCTGGTCTGACTGCAAAGCCCAAGTCCTAACCCCATTGCTCTCCAGCCTCCTTGGCGTCTGCCCCAGACTCTCACTTCACAGTGAGGAAACTGAGGCCCAGGGCCTTGTCCAGGCACCAGGGGGATGGCAGCGGAGCTGGATGGGCACCAGCCTGCTGATTCACGGGCACTTATTGGAAGTCCATGGTTGGCCTGAGCGCTCCACTCCCTGCAGCCCAGGTGAAAGGAGCTGGACCTGTCAGCCCGCGAAGGGCTCGTCACCTTGTGTAGGTGCCAAGAGTCCCAGACAAGCCCAGCTGGCTGCACCGCAGCCAGAGGGTTTAACACCCGACCCTTGGCTCTGCTGCTTTAAGTGCCTGCTGACAAAAATACAGGCATCACGGGAGATATCGCGGGTTCGGTTCCAGACCACCACAGTGAAGTGAGTATTGCAATAAAGCGAGTCATGATCTTTCTGCAGCTGGAGGGTCTTGCCTTCAATCTGTAACAAATGCAACATCTGTGGAGTATAATAAGGCAAAGCTCAATGAACCGGGGTATGCCTGTAACCCTCTTCCTTCCTCCATCCTCTCCCTGGTTTTTCTTGCCCCCTCCCCCCATCTTTCTCTTGAGCTCTCAATGAATCATTCATGCCGCCCTTGGAGTGGGTCACTGTATGATCCCTGGTGACGCATATGCCACTTTTGGCTGAGTGTCTTCCGGTGAGAACTGGGGCACCGCTGGCACCTGTGTTAACCCATTCTGGGCTGCAGTGACTGAAGGCTTCACCCACCTGTTCACACACACCCTCCAGCTGGGACCAGGACTCTCTCCTGCCACACACACTGAGTGACCCCCCACTGCTGACTCCAGGCTGCCCTCTTGAGATTGCTCACGTGTGCGGGAAACAGGCCAGCCGGCCAAATGAGCGTGAGAGTATATTTGTGCAACAATGACAGCTACGTGTGTGGTGATTACTAGAGTGAATGAGCCATAAAGGCAGGGCTTTGTCTAACTACTGCCATGTCCCCAGCTCCTGGCAATGTTCCTGGCGCATGGTAGAAATCCAGCAAGGTATTTGTGGAATGAATGAGTGGCTTACTCTTCCGGGGGAAGGATAGAAGTGGCTCTGGTGCCTGAGACTTTGCCTGTACAGGCTGGAGCTCAGCCCCTTTGGGCTGGCACCAAAGTCTCTGGGGGGCGGGGGGCATCCCTGGAGAAAGCTGGTTTACCAGATGAATGAACCAGTGTTAGTTCTTCTTCCCAGGGCCCCCAGCTCCGACTCCTCACAAATCCCAAACCACACACTAATCAGCGAGTGTGCTTTGGAGCAGCCCAGTTCCAGCTGAGGATGGCTGTCAATGCTTATCAATTTCCTGAACCTTAGAAAAAGAAAAATAAGGCAAGGAAGAGATGATAGATGGGAGCAGGTGGGAGTGAAAGTGCACTCCCCACTCCGCCAGGGTCCACCAGGAAAGGTGCCTGCTGCTGGCGCTTACATGGCGTGTGGTGAGGGGATGGCATGAGACTTACAGCCAGAGCAACCCGGCCTCACAGCAGAGCTCGCCATGTCCCAGATGGCGACCCCGCATGGGTGACTGAACTGCTCCAAGCCTCAGTCCCGTTGTCTGGACCCGGGGAGTCACAGCACCACCTGCTGCTCATCTTTCCTGCAGTGCCAGGCACATAGTAGGAGCATAGGAATGAGAAATGAATTTAAATGAGGATAATACTGCCAGCACCAGAGCCAATATACTCATAACACGATGGCAGGGGAGGTCTTTGCGTGGCTAGAAGCAAAACTAGACACCAGGAATCCCAAATCCTGGGCTGTGGTTCTGCTCCAGCTCACTGTTTAAGACTCCAGTCTTTCTTATACACACACACACACACACACACACACACACCATGAGCATGAGCACTGGCCCAGTCCTGCCACACCATACCCCACTAACTGGTTTTATCTGTCCTGGGGAGAGATAAACCTACCTTAATTGAAGTCTTCAGCTCCCCCCACTGGGCGGCCCCCAGAGGTACGGACACCCCATCCAGGCCCAGGCGCAGCTCCCCAGCCACACTGTGGCGGGAGAAGCGGTCACAGGTCCTCAGGGTCAGCGTCAGGGTCGCTGTGGGGAGCTCCTCCTCTGCCAGGGGGAGCACCAGGCCTTCCTCCCAGGTGGTGTGCAGCTCCCGCTTCTTCAGGGCTGTCTGAGCCTCCACAGAGCCTGTCCTGTTGGCCACGCTGCCTTGGACATAGCAGTCACAGCCTCCGTCGTGGTCACTGGTCACAGCTGCAGCCAAGGACAAAGCAACACAGACAGGGGACTTCTTGAGAATCAGGGAGGGAAGAAGCATGGCCCTGCTTGGAACTGCAGAATCTGGCTTAAAGGCCAGACCTCAGGTGTGTGGAGAAAGCCCAGGCTGACCACCCTGGCTTTGTAGAATCACCTTTCAGAAAGACATAGAGAGAGAGCTCTCGCGCCTGAGGGGCCAAGGTCAGCACGTGCTGGTCTTCCTTGGAGAACAGGGACAAGACTCGGTGCTTAGAGCCCTTCCCACCCCGCGAGCCTGCAATTTGGCCGAGGTGATGATTTAGCAGTGTTGCTGCTGACACCGTGATCATTTGTTCTGTGCTTTGGATGTGTGTCACACAACCACTTGTGAAGTGAATCACTGAGTACGTTGTTTTATATTCTGAGCCTTGGTGTGTTCAATGCTTTGCAATGAGGAAATGTGCACCTGTGCTGCTTTTACGACGGGCTCCCAATGATAACATGAGACGCCGTAGCTGGTGTTCCCCAGGAAGAGAAGAACTGAGGCCACGTGTCCTGATAGAAAGAACCCCCCACTGAGCTTCAAGGGACTTGGGTGCAGTCCTGGCTCTGGCACCAATAGTTGGAGTGATCTTAGACAAGTCACCTGATGTTGCTAGACCTCAGTTTCCTAATGTGCAAAATAGGGCCACTGTGAAGACCAAATGTAATAAAGTACATAAAAATGCCAAAAATCCTTTAAAAATAAAAAAAGAGAGATACTCCCTTAAAAAAATTAATTAAATACAAAAACCCAATTTATCCAGCCCCAGCTCCCAGGAGCCATGGAGCAGCCCATTGTTACCCCTGATTCCTTAGCAAAGTTTTCTCTTTGTTTGCTGATAGTAACCTGAATTGTCAGGGTAGAGAGACCAGAGACAGCCTGACCCTCTAGGAAAGACCACCTGATGCTAGGAATACTGACCATTCAGAACCCGCTCTGAGTCCAGCACAAAGCCCTATCCAATGTCAAAGGCACCAAGGCAGAGATGGCTTGCTGTTCATCAAAACCCCATTTCTTCTTTTTGCTGGGCACCTGTTGGACCACATTTCCCATCCTCATTTGCAGTCAGTGGCCATGTGACTCATTCCAGCCAATGGGATGTGAGCAGGAGTGATGCATCCCACATGCAGGTAGTTTTTAAGAAACGGTTGTGCCCTCTCCCTATTCTCCCCCTCCTTCCACCTGCTGGATACAGATGACAAGGAGGCCCAAGAGGATTATGAAGCCACAGATGGAAGGAGCCTGGTCCCTGAGTCACTATTTGGAGGAAAGATGTCTGCCCACTAGGCACCTCCACTTTAGAGAGACAGAAAACCCCTGTGTGTCTGAGCATCGCACGCTTCAGGGTCTGCTTGCTACAGGGTGCTAATCTAGCACCAGCCCCCAGCTGTGCGTGCTCCCATCCCGCCCCCACTCCCCCCGCACCCCCCGTGCAGCTCCTCCAGGGAGACAAACCCATAGAAGACCCTGAACGTCAACTGAGAGCTTACCTTCCAGGCAAGTCACGAACAGCTCTGCCTTCTGCTGGTCATACTGCAGGCAGTAGTGGAGCTTGGGGGCTTGGTTCCAGCTGGCAGCCTTCGCTGGGTTCCAGGTCTCCATGACACAGACATCCTCCACCACACCTGTTAAGAAGGTAAAGCCGTCCCTGCCACCCACGCTGGGGTCCTCTCTTCCCGATCACACCTTTCCCATCTCTGTCATCTATGCCACCAACCCAAACCCAATTCTTCCCGGCAGGTGCAAAATCATGGTGGCAGCACCTGTGTCCCTGGGCCTTGCCTTTCAAGAGATCGTCACAGCCCAGTGGTCAGACATGAGCTGCTAATAGTTATATGACCTTGAACAAGTTGCTTGATTTCTTTGAACCTCAGTTTCCTCATCTTTCCAAGAGAATGATAATAATTCCTTCTTCTTAGAGCTACTGTGAGTATTAAATAAAGTGGGGAAAGTACTTAGCCCAAGGCCTGACCCATGGTGAGCTTTCAGTAAGAAAAACTATCATAGCCTGTGTGGTTCTGGTCACCCTGTTTCAGGCGAACCATCCCCACCCCATCAATGGCTCCACCTCTCCCACAGGGTGCAGGCTCTGCTCCCCAGTAATTCATGGCCGGACATAAACATCAAAGAACGAGTCAGGAGGAGGTGCTGGGGCAAAGTCAGAGATAGTGGAGTTGATTTTTGTGCATGTTCAAAAGCACTTGCTGAATGAATGAATGACCTTATCTTTAATTCAGAAGTTCCTAAAACCAGAACTACTTCTCGCTCTGCCCCTCACTTGAATAGGAGCCAAACATCTGGAAGACTCTCGTTATTCAAACATAATACAGGAAGGAAAGGATCTAGCAGCTGCCGCAAACTCTACTTTAAGCAAACTGGAATTTTAAAATTATTTTCAGAACTAATTTAGAGGGCATAAACATAAAGGAGTATTTAATTTCTAAAATGGTTCATTATCGGGTTCCTGCAAGTAGTGAAAAATGTCCTTGGTGCATCTAAACAAGAAACAGATTGGCTGGGATGTGAGCAATGGGTAAAGTGAGATACACATGCACACAGGACCCGCCGGCTTCCAAGGGCACTGCAAGGATAACCACAGCAAGGTCAGGGTCAGAGGGGGCTTGTTGGGCACCCAGAGCTCTCAACCCTCAGACCACCTCAGCCTTCAAAATAAAAACCAACCAAAGCCAGCACCACTTGGAGAAGCATGGGGTGGATTCAGCTTCAGAAACTGGGACTTTGAGCTGTACACCTGAACCAATACAAAATAAAACTGAAAAAGAAATGGGGACTTTGAGCTCTACAAGGAGCTGATGAGGACTGTGGCCTATGGGAGTAGCTACCTCCAGCCCATCAGGGGCACAGTGTCTGAGGGATCTGGCATCCGCCTCCCCTCTGGCCCACGCTTGCTGAACCAAGCAACTCTTGATAGATTTCTGTGGAATCAGAACTTGGTTCTTGCCTTATGGGATGTGGAAATGAATGAGGAAACATGCAAAGGAGGAGACAAACTAATGTGTTTTGAATTCTTCAAAGTTCCAGACTCTAATTTGCTCACCTGCTCTCCTTGGTGGAGTGTCCAATCCTGGCTTTATCAGAGCTTTCAGAAATCGGGGGCTCCCAAGAAAAGGGAGCCCATCGTGATTATGATTATAATTAGCACCCCAAGGGTCCCCAGGCAAATGGTTTTCCGCCCAACCTTAAGCTCTCAGGTCTTTTTAAAAATATATATATTTTATTGATTTTTTTACAGAGAGGAAGGGAGAGGGATAGAGAGTTAGAAACATCCATGAGAGAGAAACGTTGATCAGCTGCCTCCTGCACACTCCCCACTGGGGATGTGCCCACAACCAAGATACATGCCCTTAACCAGAATCAAACCTGGGACCCTTGAATCCGCAGTCCGACGCTCTATCCACTGAGCCAAACTGGTTAGGGCAAGCTCTCAGGTCTTCGTGGGTGTATTTAAGATGTGGGCTGGCAAAAGCCAACCGGGATTCATTCGCACCATAGGCACTCCAGGCATTTGTTCTCCAGGAAATGCCAGGCTGATCACTGTGGTTCTGAGCCAGGTTAGAGGGGCGCTGGAGCCAGGCCAGGACATGTGTTAGGAGGGGGGTCATGACAAAGCTGGTTATGCTGCTTCTGCTTCTACTGTCTCCACCTCCAACCACACAAACAAAGCCCCAAGCCACACAATCCCTTCTCTCAGCTGTAGTTGTCACCTCCTTATAAAGGCCTGCGTGCTCCTTTGGGTTATCTGTGTGCTGCTTCACATCCCTGCCCCAGTGCCCAACACCGCACTGTCACCAAAAGGGGTGTTGCATTCTTCATGTTGATGTTGATGAGTAGAATAGAAACAATAGCAACAACAATATATTTGTATGACCTCCTAGTGCCAGGCCCTGAGCTAAGCACTCTATATGCATTGTTTTATTTATACTTTACAACTTTACCGAGTGGGCAATAGTATGAACCCACTTTAGAGATGAGGAAACTGAGGCCCAGAGAATTTAGCAACGTCACCAAGGCCACTGAAGTATATAAAAGGACAGGGAATTTGACCCATGACTCTGAACCCATGGCTTTAACCACGACTCTTTAACCCCTCTCTCAATAATTGTATATATGACTTGAAAGGCAATTTCCATTTCCCAGTGCAAAGCTAGGGGCTTTGGGGAGAAGCAATGTGGCAATGTGTCAGCAGGAGTAAAGGACTGTGATCCTGAGGCCCTGTGCCACCTGCTTGCCCAGGGTCAAATGTCACAGACACTGCCGTTGCCACACCTAGCATCTACGCAGACACTGATAGACCCCCTGAGTGAGTGTCGCTCCCGGAGCAGTGAGTGCAGCAGACCCCTACCATTCTGAGGAAGGATGAACAGCTCCTCCGTGACCTGCCTCTTGAGGCGGCTGTCATTCGGGGCCTGGGGGCTGGCAGATGCAGCAGGCTCCTCTGTGGTCCTCAGCGTGTAGTCTGCGTAGTTGATAACCTCCGGGGCCGTCACAGATGGCCTGGGGCCGTAAATGTCTGGGAACTTGAGGAGGGCTCGGGGCTGCACGGGCTCCGTGGACTTTTTAATGTTGAACTGCAAACAAACCACCTGGTTAGTCTTCCAGAAGACCTCCTGCCTGATTCCCACCCACAGAAGAGGGTAGGGATGTCCTGGCCTTTCGTGGGAGGCAGAGCGAGGGCTGGGGTTCCCTTCTGCTCTGAGGGGTGTGACCTGGGAAGCAAAACATCATCAGTCAAGCCAGGGCCCACTGATGTGTCAGCCCTGTTCATCCATCCCCCCTCCATCCATCCTAGGGCTGGGTCCCCAGGTGTTAGCTGGGTCTGTCGTGGGTAGTCCTCCCTCTGCTGCTCTCTGCGCCACTTACTTCTTTGATTTCTTTCTCTGTTTAAGCTGGCTTGAATTGGTTTTTTTGTGACTTGCAGCCAAGAGCACCCTAAACTGATGCACTGCATTTTTAATAAGCATCATAGGAGGTCACGACCCTGGGGTAGGGAACTTCTGCCTAGAGTCAGATACCACCCCCTCCCAACCCCAAACCTCTCTGCATCCGGCCAAAGGCACCCTCATTCGCTGTCTGTCCTGGCCCTGCCTTGGTAAGGCCCTGTGGGTAATGACGGCCCTTGGCGGAGGGTGATCTATATATCCCCGGACTGGCTGAGAGCAGTCCGATGATGAGCGCATGAGCCTCTTCAAGCAGCGAGAGCAGTGGCTGGTTACTGATCTTGTTCTCTTGTACAGTTCTGTGTATTGCATTTCAAAACCCTGGTTCTACCACCTCGTTCAAATGCATCTATGTTTCCACTTAAATAGCTTAAACTTCAGTGCCCAAGAAGCAGAAAAGAGGTTTGGGAGTTGAGAGAGGGAGCGTGGCAAAGGATTATAGATGGAGAGGAAGGAGGCAGGCAGGGGAACAGACCCCCATGGGAGGACCTGTGCCTCACACAGCGACCCAGCGAGGCAGGATTTGGAAGGGGGGATTCTCTCTCTAAATGACCCATGAGCCCAGGGGAGATGGCCTGGGAACAGATGCAGGATGGGTCAGGGAAGGTTTCCAGGCATTCAACACTGAGTGAAGGTCCCGCTGTGCTGGGCACTGCAGGCACAGAGCTGGCAGAAGACCCTCGGATGGGGCGCCAGACCCTCCAGTGTGTCTCCTTGGATTTGCCCTGTCTATATGTCTCTGGGCCTTGGGCCACCTTCTTCTCCCCAACATAGCCAGCTCTGCATGGACCTGAGCAGCTTCAAGAGAGCACAGCCTCAGTCACACCCATGCCCTGCCCTGGGGCTTCTCAGTGGCTGCTGAGGTGTGAGGCATGCAGGGACATGCTGTGTCTGCCCCAGGGTCACCCAGATGTGTTAAGAGTTAAAACTCCACGGAGGGCAGGGGGGACTTGACCACTTCAAGCTGGAAGCCAAACGTGGAACTCTTCTCCCCTTCCTCCTCACGACCCCTCCCAAGAGCGGCTTCAGTGGCCTTTGGAAGATGACACCTCCCTGATCCAGCAGTTGCCCTTCACACCAACTGGTGGCTGGCTCAGTAAGGCCCTGGGCCCTCCTCCACTCCCTCCGGCATCCCTGGATAGAGGCCTCTGGCAGGCTCAGCTTTCCTGTAATCCAGGCTAAGTAAGACTAATGGCACGGGGTGGGGGAGGGCAAACCTTCATTTACTGAACAAATATTTATTGAGCCCCAGTACAGGCCAGATCCTGTGCTAAATGTTAGGGAAACAGAAGTGACAAGACAGATC